GTTTTTTTTCTTGTAAGTGTCAGGTATTTGGAAACTATTAATGGTTTGTGGTTAATCTGTGAGACTGGATGGCCTCACTAGCACCCAATAATTCAGGAGCTCTGAGACCTTTCTCATGCATCTGAACATGTCTTTGTTTCTGTAATGTCACAGCCATGGATATTGCCTTCAGTGAAAAATAGCTTCTGGAAGTGAACTTTCTGTGAGTGATCCTGCCTTTTTGGAGCAAGATGTGTGTGTGTGTGTGTGTGTGTGTGTGTGTGTGAGAGAGAGAGAGAGAGAGAGAGAGAGAGAGAGAGAGAGAGATTCAGCTCTTTCACCCTTCACCAGCTTCTTTTAGACATTTCTGCTCTACCAGAAGCCTCCAAGCCTTTCCCCTTTGGTTAGAGATGCAAAGATAGGCACTTCCCAGTTCATCATCCCTTTTTATACTCCCAATAAAGCTGTCTCATCTCCCAGGAGGGCATGGAGACCCAGAACAGTTGACACAGACAATCAAAGGAGGAGCCATGTGAGTCGGATATGCCTGACCTCAAAGAGACTGCATTCCCTCTTCCTCTGTGTGGGTTAATCACTCCTTAGCATGCTCTTGGGTCCTTCTTGATAAGACTAATGTAACTTTATTCACAGCTCTCTATCACAAGCATTCAGTGTTGTTCCCCAGCCAAGACTACGCATCTAAATGGAAATGTTTATTTTATTGGTGATAGAAGATGCAACAGGCATGCATTAAAATAAATAAATAAGTAAATAAATAAATAAAATAAAAACCACTATGTGGTTTAGATTGTACATGTACAGGCAACAGAGCTATTCAGGTTCATTCCTGTCTGAGGGGATTTATCCTCCTGGCATGAGACAGACCAACCCTGTCTGTTCTAATTACATCTTAAAGGGTAAGGTCAAGCTACATTCTTAAAAGGGCAAACACCCACAAAAGAAACTGTAGTTGAGTTAGAAAAGCTGTAACCAGGGACCTGGGAATTAAATTGATCAGTTAAGGTATTGGTCAGGGATGCTTTTGGCTGCAGGTAACAAGCTGGCAATTAGGAGGGGCTTGACCACAGCAGGTGGCTTAGGAGGGCTTAGCCAGCTCAGATGGCTTTTGTCCTCTTTCAGGAAGGTGGGAGGCAGTTTGCCCTGTGCTTCCATGATGTGACAGTTGGCATTTCTGGGAGTCTTTGAACTTTGCTACATTACCGTAAGACCCATCACAGCCAAAGGCATCAAATCCCTATCTCCGTTCAGGAAGAAGAAAGGGAGGTGGGGAGGGCAATGCCCATGTTCCCCTAAGGATGTCAAAGTCTTTAGCACAAGTCCTCAAGGCAAAGCGGAACTTCATCTGATGAAGACCCAAGCTGCAAAAGGAACCATTGTAGAGCAAGAATTTGCATGTGTGACACTGTTCCTAGGGGGTGTGAATAAATATGTAATCATCCCAGATAGGAAACTGACAATGGATCAAAGTAATGGTACCACTAAATTCCAGCTAGGTGAACCAATTATTTGGGCTACTTATAGGAGTATGAGTAAAAAGTCACTTACAGGAGTGTGCATGACTCAAAGGCAGTACATCACTGCAAATCCCACCCCAGAATAAGTGATGACTCATAGAAGCTGCACCCCTGGAGATCCCTGTGCAATTCATAGGACTGTCGAGGTCCCGCCGCCCTTCTCAGCCCTAAATAAACACAAAGACACTATATTAATTATTAAACTAGGGCTTCTTATTGGCTAGCTCTTAATTATTAACCCATTTCTATAAATCTAAGTATTTCCATATGGTCTTATCTTATCAGAGAAGGGTCCAGACCTATTACTCCTTTGTGGTCTACATGGCGACTCTCTACTGCACCTCTCTCCTTGTCCCCTAGTCCCACCTATCTTGCTGCCTGACCAATCAGTGTTTTACTCTTCAACCAACAAGAGAAACATACAGAAGAACATTCCCCATCATTCAGGTAGCCACCTCTCCTCAGCACTGCTTACAGCTTACACAGCCTGTAAGGGAAGAGGGCTTTGTGAATCTAGTAAGTTTCAGGATCTTCCTGAAATTCGTGTATTGTTTAATTCCCAAGCCCTAAGTAGCCTCCCCTTAGAACTTGCTGAGTTTTAACGAGCTTTCCTCTGAAATAGAATGTTTCAATTCAGAGGAAATTGCCGAAGAACAGTACGTATGTGCACACACATGGGCATGCATGTGTGGTGACCTGGGGAGGAGAGTGTGAGAACAGGTTTAAGGTTAGCCAGAGACTGGTCCTCATGAGACTTTTAAATAAAGAAGAAACTAACATTTTCCATTTTTTTATTAGTAACTTGATTATTAATTTGGTGGGGGAGCAATGGTGAAAGGATTCCTTGGTTAAGTCAGTAGAGCAAACTAATGAAGAGAATTTCTTCACTGGTGAAGCCATGAGAGCTCTACAGGCTGGTGGTGGGGGTGTCAGTCCGTAAGAAGTATAGTGCCAGGAGTCTGTAGGCAAGGATTTCACAGTCACGACAGATGCAAAGGAAAGGCATCTTTGAGGCACAAAGTACTGGACAATCAAAGACATCTGAGCAGCAGCGTTTTCTTTTCCAGGTGATGGGTGGGAGCTGCATGGTGGGTATGAGAGAACCAGAGAGCAAGACAGTGAGTATCAGGAAGGATCATCCAGGGAGCAGAGGTGAGACAAGGGACCACAGCCTCAATCCTTCTAGAATCCCCCTCTGTCCACATTCACTCCTCCAGTTCTTCTAGTCTCCTGCTCAAAGCCAACACACAAAGGACATGTTTGTGAAAATGCATTAAAAGTGTCATATGATCATGGGCTCAAGACTTTTCCAAGTTTCATTTATTTTATCTGTTCTTTTGTGGATCTTATTTCCCAAGTCCCTCTTGGGAAATTAACCATGGGGGATACTTAAGGTGAACATTATGAGCCCAGACAAAAGACAGCAAAGGAGTTGTCTGCTGATGGATCTAATAAAGACTGAATGTATTGGTGAAGGACATCTTAAAATCCTCTCCCTATCTTTCCCACTTCCTGTTCAGGAGTTAGCTTCGGGTTAGCCATAATATTACAGATATGAAGCTATGGCTTTTAAAAATATATTTCACCACATTCCAGTCTCTCATGGCCCTAAGAAATTGATAAAGAAATTCTCATTTGCAGATAAGGAGCCGACTCTTGGTGAGCAGGTAACACATATGAGGTTTGTGGTGTACCTCCAAGTCTCCTTTTAGATCCTGTGAACACATCCATTTGAAACAAAACTCAATAGAGAGGAAGCAACTTTTAGTTGGCCCATAGGGAAAAGTAGACCAGGGCCACAAGAACTTGATCCATCCAGAGGTCAATGGATCCCAGGTTTTAGAGGGTGTTTGTATTAGCAGGGTTCTCCAGAAAAAGAGATGTGTGTGTGTGTGTGTGTGTGTGTGTGTGCGCGCGCGCGTGCGCGCGCTCGTGCATTTAAATTGTATTACTTTATTTTGTATGTATGAGTGTTCTTCATATATATATACATACATATATATATACATATATATATATATATGTATATATATATATCACATGATTACATAGTGCCTGTGGAAGCCAAAAGAGGATATTGGATACCATGAACCTGGAATTAGGGACAGTTGTGAGCTACCATGCAGATGCTAGGTGCTGGGAACTAAACCCAAGTCCTCTGCAATTGCATCTGGTGCTTTTAACTGCTGAGCCATCTCTCCAGCCCCAAGAGATCTATTGTCAAGAACTGGCTTGTGGGCTAGAGAGATGACTCAGCAGCTAAAGAGAGCTTGATAATTTTGGAGAGGACCTGAGTTTGGTCTCCAGCTCCCATGGCAGGTGGCCTGAAACTCCAGCTTCAGTGGGTCTTATGCCCTGTTCTTGACTCCACAGACACATGCATTCATATAGACGTAGACCCATACATATACATATAATTAAATATTTTTAAAGAGAATTAGCTGGTGTGGTTATGGAGGCTGAGGAGTTCATAGGCCAAAGAACCAGAGATTGAATGGTACAGTTTGCAGCCCAAGAGTGGGTGGGCTCATTATCTGAAAAGAGCTGATGTCTCCCATTGGTCTAAAGGCCAGAAAAGACCAGCATCCCAGCTGCAGGCAGTGAGGCAGGGGGGAGCCTCTCTTATTCAGCCTTCTTATCCTGCTCTACCTTCAGCTAATTGGATAAAGACCACACACTTCAGGCAGGAGAATTGTCATTATTAGCCTAGAGAATCAAATAATGTCATTTATAAAGTTCCTTGTAAATGGGCCCAGAAGAACATTTGACTAAATGTCTGTGTGCTGAGTAGCCCAGTCAAGTTGAAATTTATAATGTTAGTCATGTCAATCATAATAGCACACACTTGTGACCCCAGCCCTAAGGAGAGAGAGAGAGGCTGAAAGATTTTTACAACTTTGAGGTCAGCTTGGTCTACACAGTGGGATCCATATTAGTCAGGGCTACAAAGCAAAACCTTGTTTCAAAAATACAGAATAGGACAATGTCAACAATCACACAATTATATGTAGACATTTTGCCTACAGTTTCCAAGACACAGTTATGCCCAAAGACCCTTTTCCATGTAACTATAGTTATTCACAAGCTCAGCCTTTGCCCAGGCTACCCAGGCAAAACAAAATAACCACATGAGCCTTTAGGCACACAGAGAGAAATACAAAATGAGCTATGTTGGACTATAGTCCTCTGTCATGCAGAGCACTCAAAGCTGGCTCTCCTGTCCACCTAAAACTTTGCACCTTTTGATCAAGCCCCCGCTCTCTCTCTCTCTCTCTCTCTCTCTCTCTCTCTCTCTCTCTCTCTCTCTCTCTCTCTCTCTCCCCATCCCCAGCCCCTCATCACCACCATCCTCCCTGCTTCTGGGAGATAAACTTTATTAGACCCCTCACATGGCAAGCAGTGTCGGTCTGGCTGGCTGGTTAATCTCACCAGGCAAAACATCCTCAGAACTCACCCACAGTATCACAAATGACAGGATGGCTGAGGTGATGGATGCATTAATTAGTTGGATTTAATCATGCCACATTGTAAACACATATCAAAACAGCACGCTCCAACCCATGTATACATACACTTTTGATTTGTCAATCAAAATAAAAGCCATTTGGGACAACAAACAAGACTAGATTTTGAGAAAAGCAACAGAGAGAGGAGAGAGTAAGAGAGACAACAGGCAGGAGTGTGGTGGGAGGGGACAGAGGTCCCTCTGAGAGTTACCCATCTTGAGATGCTGAGCAAATCCCGCTTGTGGCTGGCCTGAGAGTGAGCCATGTGGGAAGAAGCAGGGATTCCTCCTTCCCTATCTGAAGAAGGCCTTTCTCCTAATCTTCCCATATGGAGCCCTGCCCCTTGACACCTTGATTCAGCTCCATTGGGCCCAGACTTCTGATCACCGCTGCTTGTGGTCAGGTCTTACATGCATCAGTCTGGGACCTCCTTTCCCCTTTGAGCCCACCAGCAGTGAGTAAAGCTGCTCCATAAAACCTAATAGATAACAGAAATAAATTAAAGCATGAGCTCCTAAATTGTTCAACAACTAGTGAAAGTTCTGTTTGTTGCCAGTGAACTCCCAGCTTACACCTTTTCAAGCACTCTCAACTCCAGCATCATCCTTGAAACAGGAGCGCTGACCTGGGAACATAGAGCAATGACCATCTCTTGTGACTAGGAGTATTTTAATATTTTTGATATTGTGTGATGCTGAAGTGACCGTGACCTCTGTATTGAAGGGATCACCTTAGATACATTAAAGAACTTTATGAGTCTTTTCACTTCCAGAAGCCCTACCACCAACTGCTCAGCCTCTCCTCGATTACCCAGTGTAGTGGCATCTAGTGTTGCCAGTGTATTTGTATTAGTGGCCACACCCTTTGGGCATGGCTTTCCAACATGGCGTGAGTATGTTTACTGCCAGCACTGGGAACTGTGCTCACCAGCTCGGTCTATGCTGCCGTCAAGCAGCATGCTGCTGGTTGCTCATAAACACCATTTGTTTGATAGTGGAGCCTCTTATGTGGGGGATTTTGAGAGCCCATCCCACTTGAAGGGATGCACTCTGTCTCTGAACACATGGGGAGGGACCCAGGCCCAGCACAGGAAGATTTGGTGGACTTGGTGGAGCCCCGGTTGGGGGCCCTACCCTGCCTGGGGAGTGGTGGGTGGATGGGGTGGAGGGTAGGTTGGAGGTGGGGGAGAAGGAATGGGGGTAAGGGGAGGGAGAGGGAGAGGCAGAGGGGAATTACATGTGAAAAAAGCCTGTTCCCTAACTTGAATTAATAATAATAAAAAGAGAAAAAAAAAAGAGCCATGTGGTTTTTGCCACTTACGCTGAGTCAGGAAGCCTCTCTCTCTCTCTCTCTCTCTCTATCTCTGTCTCTCT